GCTGCCAGAAGAAACTGAGTAACTGCAATGCTTTCTTGTATATCACTTTCTTTTTTTAGTTTCAGTTCTGTTTAAGCTCATTGTAAGAATTTTATCACAGCAGTATACAACTTCTTTGTCAGAGTTTGTAATTTCTGATATACTGATATTTCTGATCTTTAAAGGTTTCAGTGTTCCAATACACAGGTTTCAAAGGCCTGTCGTTAGACTCAGCAAAGAATGAAGCCATCTCTAAGCTAGGCAACATTTCCCATGCCTAGAGCCTATGCTGGAAGAAAATCTACTTTAATGATTTTGGTAAATACAAGCATAACTTTTCAATCTGAATTATGTGATTTCAAATTTCCTTTCAAAATTGTTATTCCTAAATGATGCTATTCTTCTATGATTATTCAACAGTTACTTTTAAATACCTTATTAGAGTCTGTAAATGCAGCACAGCAGTTAGATAGCTACAGCATGCGTTAAGATGTGTCTGTTTTTCATTAACAATAATTCAAGTAGATATCGCACAGTAAGAATTATTCTCTGCAAGGATGAGAGAAATTGAAAATACTCAATTTATTTATACCAAAGTGGTCCTCTAGGATGGCAGACTTAATTGCCAAGAGATATAGATAAGTGAAAACTCGGAAGATAAGGATAGGCGTTCACATGATAACTGAAAAATTCCTTAAGCAGGAGTGTTAGGAATCCCATCCTGTCTGTGACACTGACATCCCACCCTATCTGTACAGTTCAGTGTACTAATTATCAACCTGGAAAGGATGTTGAATAGTTTGGTGACTTGTAGCTAAGGTGCAGAAAGTTTTCACAATACGTATAAAATTAACATGAAAAAACCTTCACTGCGTATACCATGGTGTATACTATTATTATGCAATGAAGGAATTGGTGAACTGACTGGAGGCAACGTGAAAAAGTTCTGTCAAATCATGAATCATGTGAACAGGTTGAGTAGTGAACAAGTATTTTTCTCTCAGTGTGTATATCAGCTGTGGAATTCATTGTTGTGATATTTGTGGGTGCTGGTAGTTAAAAGCTGTTTGAAAAGGGCATGGACAGATTGGTAAAGATAGGTCTTTCGGTAGCTTTTAAATATGATGATCTTGAAACTGCAGGTTGCTGATAGTGGAGAGGTTATTCTGAGGAAAAGATCGTTCTGTATTTTTCTTGTTCTTATATTTTCTTTTCTAAGTTAATGTGATTGGTTACTTTAGGAGACCAAATAATGGGCTTGGTGGATCTTCTGTTGATTCAGGCTGGCAGAATTTATGACTGTGGGCATGATATTAAGTTTCCCTTTCTTTCTGGCAGTGTTTAGTTCTTAGTTAGCATTTAGTCCATTGAGATGTATAGGCGTACAGTAAATGCCTGTATATATGATTTATACATACATGCACACGCACACACTCTCTAACTATATGGTTGTACTGTACGTTCAGAGGGACTTCAACAGGCTGGAAAAATGGTCCAACAAGAACCTCATGAAGTTCAACAAAGGCAAGCGTAGCATCCTGCACCAAGGAAGGAATAGCCCATGCACCAGTAACTGGCCAGAAAGCAAGTCAGCAGAAAAGGACCTGGAGGACATTAAGCTGACTGTGAGCCAGCAATGTGTCCTTGTGGCAGAGAAGGCCACCAGTGGCCCAGGCTGCACTAGGAGGAGCATTGCCAGCAGCTCAAGGAAGGTGATCCTTCCCCTCTACTCAGCACTGGTGAGACCACATCCGGGGTGCTGTGTCCAACTCTGGGCTCTCCACTACAAGAGAGTCGTGGACATACTGGAGGGAGTCCAGTGGAGGGCCACAAAGATGATTAAGGGACAGGAGTGCCGGACATATGAGGAGAGGCTGAGAGAGCTGGGACTGTTCAGACTGGAGGGAAGATGACTCTGAGGGATCTTATCAATGTGTATAAACACATGATGGGAGGGGGTAAAGGAGATGGAGCCAGACTCTTCTCAGCAGTATCGAGTGACAGGACTGGAGGCAATAGGCCTAAACTGAATACAGAAGTTTGCATTTAAATGTAAGGAAAAGCTTTTTACAGTGCGGGAACAGCTTGTGCAGAGAGGTTGTGGAGTCTGCACCCTTAGAGATACTCAAAACCTGGCTGGACACAGCCCTGAGCAACCTGCTATAGTTGACCCAGCTTTCAGCAGGGCATTGGACTGGATGATCTCCAGAGGCACCTTCCAACCTTAACTATTCTGTGATTCACCAGATTTTAATGGTATTGCAAAATTATAGACGTGTAGAAGTCTAATTATGTAGGTGTCCCTGCCCAGGATAAGTGTGTATGTATTAAACAACCACAGTTTTCTATTTTGTAAATAAAAAGACCAACTTTGTGT